TTTTGACTTAATTGACCGACTGAACTGCTCTATAGAATTTGACAAAAGTGTTCTGATTCAACACGTTATTAATAGGCAAAAAATTTGAATTGCAACAGTTCTCGTTCCGGTCGAGCTTGGTTCGTTTTTTGACAGTTTTGTTGCTATGGCAACCACGCCTGGATTTTGACAACTTGTCTTCTCTTTTCTGTTTTTGAGAATATTCTAGAATTTTTTCACTCTGAATTGTTACATCAGTATCATTCAGTCGACTGTACAAACAGTCGAGTGCACTATGAAAACACTCAATTGACCACAATTTTTTCATCCAATTTGGTTTCCGGCCAAGGTTCTCCGGTTGGTTCCCTAGATAGATAATCGACTATCCCCATATCTTTTCCCGGAATATGGACAATTTCGAATTGATAAGGCATTAATCTGTCCACCCATCTCGTTAATCTTGATTGATATGTTTTGTTAGACCTATTGCCTTCTAAGGCGGATGTTAACGCCTTATGATCAGTGACTATTAGAAATTCTTTTCGTAATAAGTAATGTTTGAAACGATCAACTGCCCACACTACCGCTAACAACTCAAGCTCATTAGTAGAATATTTTTTTTCTTGATTATTCAGGTAGCGCGATGCGAATGAAATTTGAATCCATTCGTTCTTTTCTGTTTGTTGCTCTAACGATGCCCCTAGTCCACTATGGCTTGCATCACACTTGACCCGAGTATCCCTACTCGGGTCATAATAATTCAGTTTAGCAATGTTTGCTACCGCTTGTTTGATTTCTTCGAATACCTCAGTATATTCGGGTCCCCATTCGATTTTTTTTAATGGGACTTTAATATTTTTCAATTTTTTCTTTTCATTTTCCTCACGCAATAATGGTCTAAGCTTGTCTGTCAAATTGGCTGCATTTGGTATAAACTTCGAAAGGTGATTAATACTACCTAGAAACGATCTAAGTTGTTTGAGCGACTTGGGATGCTCTAACTTAAGGATAGCTTCCGTTTTCGTAATTTTCGGGGTAACACCACTTTCTGAAAGTTTGTGTCCAAGCCAATTTACTTCTGTTTTAAAGAATTCGCATTTCGACAGCTTCAATGATATGTTTTCCTTCTCTAATTTCATTAGAATGTCGGTAATTAGTTTTTCATGTTCTAGCTCCGATCCCTTTGAGACGATCAATATGTCGTCCAAGAAACAAAACGTATGCTTAGAATTATTTAACGTTCGATCCATTGCTTTTTGAAATTCGGCTGGCATATCTGCCAACCCATCGAATCCCGTCAAAAATCGATATGTACCCGTAGTTTTCCCCCCTACGATGTTGAAATTGCACTGTCTTGCAGTTTGCGGAGTCAATTTTAACTGACTATACGCATATTTCAAATCTAACACAGTGAAAAACAAGGTACCTGCTGCTTGTGCAGTTACTATCTGACTAACACCGTCTAATAGCTCCTCCACATTCGGCATCTGATACTTGTTTTTGTATAATTGTCTGTTGATGGGCTTTGCATCCAGAGCCAGTTTAATTGAATCATCTTTCTTCACTGTGATGACAATATGGGCTATGAAACAATCACTAGTACACTTGTCCAAATTTTGAATATGGCCTTCTAGTAGTAATTTTTCGATTTCCTTCTCAACTTTTCCTTGCACATGGATGGGTATTCTCCTCCCCTTTTCCTGAATTGGGCAGAGAGGGTACTTGAACGTTGTATTTACTACATGATGTACTGATCGTCCTTTTCTGTCAAAAAGGGGTTTGAAATCATCATAGAATTTTTCTTTCTACGGCCCCGACTGTTCGCACAGCATTATGTCAAATCGGGATTTGATCTTCGGGGCGGGTCTTTGCGTAGTGGTTATACCCACTTTATTTTGTAACTCTAAACCTAAGATACACCGTGTCCTTCGTTCAGTTATCAGAAATGTGGCATCCGGAACTTCCCAGCCAGCGGATCGTATTTTTGCCTTCACCGCTCCCAATATTGCTGTTTTTTTTTATAGTCCACGAATTGTGCTGGCAAGTTCAATTTTTTGACCGGGGTAAACTGTATTTTCCCTGACGAGTCTAAAATCTGTTTCGCCAATGTCCAATTTATAAATGAAATTGGGCTTCCGGTGTCCACGGTCATATTTATTATTTGGTTATCAATTCGGATTAGGGTTTTCAGTGATTTTATCCTTCCCGATGTTGAATCTTTCCGAATGTCAATCTTTTTCGTTTCGAGTTTGTTTACTCCATTGCTGCCACTGTTCTCTTTTACTTTCTCTTCGATGTATCGATTGATCATCTCTATCTGATTGTCGTTTTGTTCAATTGCCATAACCTCAAATTCTTCGCACGAATCAAATGTTTGAAATAAATTACATTCTTCCTACAAACTCTCTGTATTCTCAGTTATTTCACTGACTTGTTGTGAACGACACATTCGAGCAAAGTGGTTTGGTTTATTACAGTTCTTTCATTGTTTTCCCATTGCCGCACAATTTTTCAAATGACCATCTACAAATGGTTTGCCACACCTATTGCATTGTTTCCTATCATCTGCGTTATATTTATTCGATATCGCCCTTCCTTCCGGCTGTTTCCGTCTATTCCTTTCGCGATAGTGTTTTCTAGTATTCTGATTCCTGTTTCCCACCGCCATGATCGGTTCCTGCTTGATTTTAGTTTGAGAACCTGGTTGAGTTATTGTTTGTGCAGTACCCAGAGTGGACTTCTGAAACGCCTGTGTCGATTGTTTACTCTGCTCGAATTTTATCGCACGTTTTAACACTTCTTCAGGAGGTAATGTCTCGAACGTGAGCGTGTCCTGCAATGCTGTACTTCGCATTTTAGAAATAAAGAGATCTCTGACTAACTCATCTTCTAAAGTGTCTAATGCCCATTTCGCTGCTTGAGCAGTTATTGCGGCATGAAATGACTCTAACGATTCTCCCATTTCCTGCGATCTATTAAATAACTTGTAACGTTCATAGGTGATGCTCTGGCATTTTTCAAAAGTCTCCTTTGCTAATCTGGCCATCTCTTTAAATTCCAATTTAGAAATCTCAACATGTGGATTTTTTTGAACAAACCGTTTCTTTCCTTCCGTCCCAAACGCAAGAAATAGTCTGGATACTAGTCGCTTTTGGACTTCGTTGTAGTAAATATTGTGACCCACTTTAGGTCCTTTTTCTCTCCTCTCTTCATTCTCGGCTGCTACTCGATCTTTTAATAGTCTGTCCCGTGCTTCTCTAGCTTCTGTCTCTATTCGCCCTCTCTGGGTGTTTCTGGACGGGGTTCCGGCTCCTCCAACACTGGTTTAGGATCTTCCAGCATCACTTCTGGGTTGACATTTTCTTTTACAGTTACCGCCATCAGGAACTGATCGAACCATACTTTAAAATTCCAAGGTGGATCAGAGTTCGCTGTGGTCCAGAAAACAGGAATTCCCATGTCAGTTCTATTATCCTGAGCCAGAAATCCTGCTGACTGCGCCATGTGATATCCCTAAACTGTGTAGCGTGTTGTGGAAGTAAGAAGAGATAGTGTTAATTTACTGTTCTTGATCTTGTCTTGTTAACGAAGGTTAGTAGCTGAGATTGGTTACTGTTTTATAGCTTGAAATATGAAACACTGACCAACTCATCTATAACGTTTTAGTAACACCAAATGGCCTTGACCACTCTTACATAATAATAGCATAATAAATATAGTTAGCACATATGATTACTGCAGATGCAGTAGCTAGCAAACTGTCCTCAAGGCTACGTACTGCGGATTCTGCAGTACCACAACCTGATACGAGTAGTATTTTTATTCCGACTTTCTGTTTTTGTTCCCAGTGTAATTTTCATCCAAAAATTTTCGATAAAGTTAAATTAGCAATTTTTGAACTGAGTTGTTATACCATCTGACGCCCAGATTTCAACTTCAAAACGATGTTTTACCTGTTATTTTTTTGACAAGCTATGAGGGTTTGAAAAGAGCAAATTGAGTCAAATAAAGCGATATTATTTGTGCTAATATTGCTGAAACGCCTATTTAGTCAAGCTCCAATTTAGATTGTTTTGGCATTAGGTTTTCGAAATTTTTTAAAAAAAAACTATTCCATAGACTTTAAGGAGCAGTCAAAAGATCGAGTGCATCGCCGTGATGCGTGCAGTCTTCTTTTGATTGGAAATGAATTCTCGGTCGGTTTATCCCGCTGCTTTTGCATATCGAAAATGGATAATAAACGAGCTATCAAAATCGATTCGGTAACATCTGTGTTTTTAAATGCAAAAAGTAGACTAAATTTCATTGCAGGTTTAAAAAAAATACCTTTGGAAGTCATTAATATATTTTTCTCGGTGGTATTCTATTTCAAAGATTGTAAGCTATGGTCTGTAATAATACAAGTAGCTGGCACAACTGATGCCGAGTTTCTTCGAGAACAATCGGTCCACAAAAGCGTCTCATCGCACTTTATTTTTTGTGAACTTGGTTTTTGTAGTGAAAGAAAAAAACCAAAATAAAATAATATCAAAAGCAGAAATGAGAAGCAGTCCATTTGCGTTCTTATCCTTAATCACGTCGCGGCGACTTAATTTTTCATACCATTCTGGAGCTGATTGATTTTGAATTAGAAATTTAACGGAACAAATAAAGCCCGACCGATAACATTTCTCCTATTTTGCTCGTTTCATTTCAGTGTTTGGGGCTCACTTACACCTGCTATAGAGAAATGTTTTCTTCAGATAGGACTAATCTAATGTAAGTCTTTCTTCTAAGAGCTAGTTGGAAAAATTATCATTATGTCAAATCTTGAGTGTTTGATCCGATTGTACTGGTTGTGAGTTTGTCATTCGCGAAGATATACGTAAATCTGACATTTTCCGAGTTTTGTTTTTTAATTTTCCGGTGAATTGTACCACGGTTTCTTAATTTTGAGTTATGTGACGTTTTTTATTGGTCGATTTTTGGCCTGCTTCTTACCATTAAATAGTTGGTTGGCATATTGGTAAATTCAAATAGAATTCAACAAATGGTCTTTCAATTCGATCGGACAGCGAAGCTTATTTTTCTTCAGCAAATATACTTACTTCTTTCACACCAGTTCAGCTCTATTTCTGTTATTTTATATTTAATTTATCAGAATAAAACGCCACCGACTTTCTAGTTTCAGCAATAAAAATAGTTTAAACCAACTCATATCCAGATTTTTCAGCATAAATTACAAACGGCGCTTTTTGAAGTTTCACTCAGTTTGACGGAAATACTGCGTCTTTGATCAGGAGCGCCAAATGCGGCATGTTTTTTAAACGTTTGGTACCGGAAAGCAGTTACCATTCCTCAGCGCTTAAAATTTTCTTCTGATCTCTTAATCAAAAAGTGGCAAAGAACTGGTTTTTTTACACTTTTGCAATAATTCAGTCAGAACATTATTGTTAAGCATTGACCGTTGAAAAAAAAAGACAGGAAACAATTTTTTCTCTGCATATATTTCATATTTTTGTCACGCAAAGCCGATCACCAAATTGCATTTTCAAATTTTAATTTCCCCGTTTTGAGATTACTCGTGAAAAGGTAAACTCCTATTTTAAGCACCTCTACATGTTTAATCATTTTATTTTGCATAAATTCCAAAGCAGCCCCTCAAAGCTCTTAGCCTCTTCACAATTCAAATCAAAGCGTTTTTTTTAGTTATCTGACGCAAAACCATTTTGTTAGGTTGTATCTATAAAAATACTCGTCTGAAAAAAACAAGGACCCTTAATGGCTTACAACAGCAGCTCCAGCGACCCTAGTAACTTAACAATGACCTCGGGGCCAACATCAAACGGGCCGGATCGACCTTTACCTGTCGGCGAGGCTATTTTCATAGTTTTAGTCGTAGTCTCGACATTTATAATCAACGTCCTTGTTATTCTGGTTATAACTCGCAATGCCAGCTTGAGAAACATTACTGGCTACTTTATCATCGCGCTTGCGTGTAGTGATCTGCTCTACGGGGCCTGTTTTTCCTTCTCCATTCCCTCGGTTATCTATCGCGAGTGGATTTTTGGCGACTTCTTTTGTAGTATTGACGGGTACCTCTACAACGTGACCTACCATAACTCGATTCACTCGTTTGTGTTTGTCACTATAGACCGATACATCGCCATAACGAGGCCCCTGCACTACCACCAAATCATGACCAGGAACAAGTGCTTCCTGATTATTGCGTTCGGCTGGGCAGTGTCGTTCGCGGCCGTATCGCCGACTATCTTCGGGTTCGGCTCGTTCGCCTATCGACCTGATGTCTACTGGTGTGGGATTGCGTGGGGAAATGACTGGCGTTATACAGTGTACTGCACTTGTATCTTCATGCCAGATCTGTTTGCCATTCTCTTTTGTTACTACAGCATCTGGAGAATTTCCTACGAGCACTCCCAGGGTATGCAGGAGCATCAGGCGTTCCACGAGGACATGAAAGAGAACCGCAACAAAGCCCTGCGAACCCTGATCGTAATGGGTGTGTCATTTCTCAACGGGTGGTTCCCTTATCTCCTTTCGATGCTCTACGCGGGTATTTCCCCCTACCCCATACCTTACTCGGTCAACTTTGCAATGGGGTGGGTGAGCACTAGCAACTCCTTCTGGGACTCCTTTCTTTATATTCTTTCGAGTCAGCCTATGAAACAGGGTTTCAAAAAACTGTTCGCTCCATGTTGTCGGAAGCTGTGCAGTTGCTGTGCGGATAAAAATGACCCGATAAGGAATGGAATCTCGCTAGATGTTGTTGACAAGCACAGCAAACATAGTACTACGAACAACCACATTAACATCGACGTGTGAGCACTTCTGAACAATACTTCAAGTCATGAATGATGCGATGAACAATGAATACACAATTAATACTAAAAGAACAAAAATGACATACAAGAAGTTCAAACTACGCAGAATTAAAACACGTTTGACAATACAAACTCGAACTGTATACAAGGAAACCATCATGATTCTAAACTTAACTTCCCACTTTTTAAGTTGCTGATGCCTTTTGTTACTCAAACTAGATGAATATTTATTTTGGAGAAATTAATTATTATGTAATATTTGAAATTGCTTATTCATTAATAATTGTAACTTATTTGGATCAGATTCAGTATTGCTATCGACTCGATTTTTTTTACTTTGGCGAAACCGTGACTCACAAACTACGTCATTTTGGATTTTTGGATTTATTCTAGTCTAATAAATAAATTCACCTCGCCTTTGTTTCAGATCAAACATTTTACTGAAATTAATTATCAGCAAAAGTTAATAAACGATAGAAAAACCTGCAGTAAAATGAAAAAAATCATAATATTAGTTTTCCTTCGAAAAATATTTTAATTAACCGCATGAAATTTTACTTTAAAAATATTTGTTGAGAATACTGGTTCAGTAAACATGAAAGACATATGATTTGATTCATTTCCAGTTCTGTCACGATTATGATGCCTGAAACTTTTTGCCGTCTATATTTAAGAAGATCTTTGATGAGGAAAAATTTTGAGCAGAACTTTCGCCGATGATACTTTTTCAAAACAAGATTGATCATAGCATATTGCTCAATTTCCTCAGTTTCCGGTGCATTTTTTTCCTGCTTCAACAAATACATGAAGAGCTTTTTTATGGATGCGTGGATCAGCTGAGCAATTTCTCCGCCCGCTTCCTGTCTGGAACATAGCTCAACAGGTACTTGAGAACTGTTTATAACCTTTTTGAAGTGAGTTTTAACTGCCTGAATTTGCAAGAGTCTTCAAAGAATGTCGATCAGAAAAAATTACATTCACAAATTTAGAAACTTAACGAAGAAGAAATAAAAATGGCCGAGTTAGACAAAATTAGCCAGTTACTTTCGGCCGTAAAAGTAAAAAAATGTGTTTATATATACTATCAAAGTCTTGCAGAGAAAAATGGATGATAATTAGGTAAAAATTTGATGCAACGAAACTATTAAATTTTTTCTTGAAACATAACCATGATCACTCAATTGAAAAATCTTTAAAAGTTGAAAATGTACTTGAGCCATTTTGTATTTTGAGCTGCTTAAAAACCTGCAAAGCCATAACCATGTCAAAATTTTCTACCACTGCGTATGAGATTCGTACTGTTTTGAGGATTACATTTTTAGTTGAAGCTAACGTTTCATAATTGCATTGCAATAAAATGAACACCAAGTTGCTTATGTTAATGTCTAGACATTCGTCAGCTATAAAATTTTATTTTCCATGAAATCATGGTTTAAGTTTTTAGAGAGAACAAAAATTTACTTAAGATTTGTTTCCGTCAAAAATGCTTTTTAACGACAGTTGTTTATTTATCCCGGAACTTAATTTGTCAGTTTGGGGCTTTGGTTCCCGGAAGCTTTTGTTTAACTTTGAGTCACTTTGTTTGCTGTGAAGCCGGAAAGGCATGTGGTGGTAACCTTAAAATTTAACGGGAATTTATGGACTATTATGGCTTTATAACTGTGGGGTTTGCAGCAAGGGTGACTTTGAACTACTCCTAAGAAAGCAATTTGATATCTTCGCTAACACAAAAGCTCTTTGATGAAAAAAGGGAAAATTCAAGCAGCTTGCCGAATCGATGAACTGCATTTTACGCGATTAAAGGTAGCATTTAAAAGGTCGGTTTTGAAAAAAAAGCTGGTAATTTTGAAGTTCATGTCAGCCATATGAGGGACTTTATTTTGAGATTAGACTTGTGTTTTTGTTTAACTTTTGTTTGAGCTGTAATCCAAGTCTAATTCTATCGTTTGATTAGACTTGTTTATACGACTGCTGTTGGTGGAAAATCCATTTGATCTGACTTGGCTTAATCATGCAAGCTTCTAATTGTTAGGATTGCTGTAAGCTCAGCATTAAAAATGGGAGGAGACTCAATCATTCTCTGTAACTCCCCCCACCCCTTTTCTATATGATACCTAATAAAGATGAAGGACTATGAAGGACTAATTCACTGGTAAAGCTAATGGCAACTTTCTATATCTAGTAACGGTTCCTTTTACAATAGTGGAGTGAAGGTGGGGGTGGGGGGGGGGGGGGTTGTTAAACAGTTCCGGCTCATATTCTAGTGAAAAAAGTAAAGTTTTTTTTCAATTTTTGGTTTCATTCTATCAGACTTGTTCTTTATATGGGCCGCATGGCCAATTTATGATTCCTGATATATCCTAATAAAACTTCTGAAGCAAGCAGCCTATTTGTATCTTCCCTTCTTGCCTATAGCAAATTCTGAAATTGATTAACTATTGATTCTGTCTTTTTTTGGAGAAGGGGGACTGTTCGTTAAAGGTTCCAATGAAAAGATTAGACGATCCAACATAGAACGACGTGCGACGTCTTAAAATGTTATATTTTAAGTTGAAAACTCAGATACTTAGATCGAAATCAGATACTTAAGAAACCAGCGTAAGGATCTTGTTAACTATTTCTCTCCCTATGGTACTTTGTAACAAATCCCCCCCTCCATAAAAAAAGAATTGAACAGTTAAGCATATACGAGTTTTGCACCTGGTTAAATATTTCCTCCCCTATTGCAATAGAAGGGGTAGGAGGGGGGGGGGGTGGGGATTGGGGATAGTTAACAAGATCTTTAGATCTGAAATTTGGTTTCTTTTTCCATAGTCTATTAAAAATTCTCATATGGTTGTAATTGCCTGGGGTCTTGTATCTACAAATGAAGAAGGTAGACGCACTAGACGTGACCTTTGCTAGATGCAATAGACCATTAACTTGTGGAGCAAGCAGTCATAACCACACATGGGTCAAATTTAGTTCGATGGACCAAAGATTGATGAGAAAATAGCTAGAAACTAAATATATATACCTTAAATTCTAATAGATCTTTTATCCTTATTTACGACAGCTGATGGTACTGATGTTCTTTAAATTAAATATAACTTTTTATAAGTGCATTTAGCTTCAGTTTAGCTCTTCATCAGTTTTAGTGAGGTAGAAAATTCTATTGCAAACCACAAATCCATGTCAACTAGACAAAAATTTCGTCTATGGAGAGAACGAGCATAATAATTGAGGAGTAGTTTTGCAATGTTAATTTTTCCTCTTGTCAACAATAATTTTAGACAAAATTTCGCAGACGTGGAGAGGGTGGAGTAAAAATGGCCCTAAATTTTAACTTTTAATTGATATTTCAAAATGTTCCCTGCTTGCTCTAACGTTTATCGGGTTTTTGCACGTTACCATTGGACAAACCTCTAAATTTCCACCATCTTGTGGTGTTTGCAATAAAGATAAGATACATCAAATTATCTCTGCTTATATCCTCGCTAGGACTGGAACAAAGGACCGCTGGATGGGTTGCCATATCTGGATTGGCCTCTGGGCTAATCTGAGAGGGCCCGACCGGCTGCCAGCTAATGGGCTATGTTGGGCGAAAATCAATAAAAGCAAAGCCTCTTTCAAATGGCATTATGTCGGGCTATAGACTGAGTTTTTCTTGCGGATTGACTATCATAGGTGAACTACAATATACAAAGGGATCAATGCGTCTTCGTGGCTTAGATTTCGGATCAAGAGAAAAAATTAATAAATTTGAAGCAGGTGAAGCTAAGGTTTAGAGATGCGACGGTGAGATGAGCTGGTGCTTAAAAACAAAACAGCAAAAAAGAACAATTCGGAAACAAATGTGCCGTGCTAGAATTTGTTTGCTTATTTGTTCTCTGTCAATCGCATCCAGGTCAAAGTTGTGCATTAAATTGGTTGGGGTCCAAAGACGCTATACTCCGGTTCTTTTTGAAACCCCCAAGAACCAAGTGATATGTCTACAGCCCCTATTGAAAAAGTTGGGTCTTCAGAAAATTTCTCTGCAGTTCTTATTCCGCAATTTAAAGGCCATATTTTAGAAAGAAAAAACAGCACTGAAATATGTACAACCAAATGACGTACAGAGTTTCATCAAAAAAGACTAAAGTGGCGAAAAGCTCGTTGCGAGACAAGCACACCCCTTACGTGCCACTTTATGTCTAAAATAGACTGATTTATTTTTGAAAAGACTTTAAAAATGCCAAAAAAGCGCCAAATAGGCTGAAAATGCTCCTCATACGGACAAAACAAAAAAAAGTTGCATGGGATAAATTTGATGAAACTGATTCGGTTTGTTTTTACAGGGATGTAAATTTGAAATCATTTTTTAAAAAGCAAGATCTTTTTGGGTGTCTGTTTCATTCACTTTTTCATGATTGCGTGCTGATGTTATGTTTTTTTTATGTTTCGACCCACTTCGACTTATCGTTTCGACTCAATTCGACTTTGTGTTGCGACTCAGTTCGATTTCATATTTCGACTCAGCTCGACTTTCAGTTTGACCATAGGTCTTGTGCGATGGATTCCGGTCCAAATATAACATCTGGTTCGACCACCTCGAAATCTCGACTCGGGATCTAAGAGTTTCTAGGTAATTAAAGACATCAAGACCACGGGAGATGACATAGTGTTCAATTTGCTGCTTGAAAATGCTATGAAGAGAGGGAAAAGTTTAAGAAGTTTCACCTAGCTGTGGTACTTACCTTTCATGTCTTCGCTGTTAAAATTTCAGAAGTATTTCAGATACTTTTTTAAAGAGTTTTCTCCAAGATAACCGGCACCGAAAAACCTTTGGAAAAAGAATAATCTGGGCTGCAAGAGTATAATTTCAGTTTTAACGAAGTTTTATTTAAAGCATAAACATTCCAAACGAATAAAATATTCGTGCCATTGAACATAGTAGCTAGTGTCCATCAAACAAAACACAACTATAGCGGGGGATTACACCTTTATTCACAAGTGTCACCTCTACGGGTTGAGAGGCGTTCCTCTTAATTTACTGAAATCCTACCTCAGCAGTAGAAACCAGTATGTCTTTCATTCGAGCAATTATTCAACAACAGAGAAGCTTCATTGTGGGTGCCTCAAGGTTCTGTTTTGGGTCCCCTGCTTTTTCTTGTTTATATCAATGATCTTCCCAATATACCACAGCACAGTGAATGCATTCTTTATGCGGATGACATAATATTTTTGGAACACTCAACGAAACTAAAGAACTCAAAACAGATTTGGAATTAATATCCGAATGGATGGAAAACAATAAACTTACAACAAACAAAGGAAAAATACAAA